TTAAAGCACTGAAAGGCCACAGTATGAGGTCTGCTTTCTAGCTGTGAAATTTGGCCCATCAGATGTTATTAGTGGGGGAAAAAAATAGTATAAAAAAAGAATATTTGAATATATTTTGTGAGGTAAAACTGCTCTTGTAATATGTAAAATCCCTAATTATTAATATAATTATTGTTTTTTATAATCTGAGTGCAGTGGGGAAATGTTAAATCTTGGTTTCCCATCGTATTGATGATTATTTTCTCGTTTTTATTTGCATATTTGGTTTTAAATTAAACCAAAAACTAATAAAAAGCAATCAAGTTACACTACTTTAGTATTGTGATTCATGGAGTAAGTCACTGACAACAGTTAATCAGTAATTACACTTTAGTAACCCCTCCCAACCCTATGTTTGACATTCAGGTGTTAAAAGAAGGTAAATTAAATGACCAAATATTGTGAAAACACCAACAAAAAAAAAGACATCAATCAATTCATTGTTTGTACCCTTTAATATTAAAAAGGGAGCACTCTTTGTAAACCTGTTACAAACTGAAAAATCCAAACACACCACAGGCACAGGAGTTAAGAGCAAAGGCATTATTAAGTGTATGCATAGTACACAACATGGTGAATGGTTTATAAAAAGCATTTGCATCAACAGTTGAGGTCATGTTTGCTTTGATTAGTGCAGGCTGACTGTTGGAAGCTCAACAGCCTCATTACTCAGATGTCAAAACATCCCACCTCTTACATTTACTGACAAACTTTGAGTATTGAAGCATGAATCAGTGTAAATATGCATATTTTAAAGTACAAACACAGCTTAGTGTTTATGAGCTGGGTGTAGCAATAATAACTCATTTGTTAAATGAAATCTGGGAGTCTGTGCCGGGGCGCTTTGAGCCTCCTCACACGGGGTATTTGTGGGTTTGACGGTACTGATTAATTACAGTATATAACCGAATGTTTTCAGGCTGTTTACTCCCCTTTCAGTTTGGCATTCATGAATTTAGTTTGCTTTGCCAAGGCGATGGCATCCAGGTGGAGGTTGCGGTTGAGGATGACCGAGCCGCAGGTGAGAGCTCCAGCGAGAGCACCGGCAAAGCCACACAAAAACACGTCCTGACCTGCAACACAAACACAAAAATTGCTCATTTTAGCTCAGCCCTGTCAGGAATTATCCCTGGCTGATGTTGTGCCGCACAGACGGACTCACCTGTCAGATAGAGGTTCTTCAGCGGAGTCTGAGGTCTCACGGTAGCGTTGAGCTCAGGGCTGAAACGGGCGATGCCGTGATCCGCTCCGTAGATTTCACCTTTGGGGGCTCCGATATAGTGCGTGTTTGTGATGGGGGTTCCAGCGTCAACGTACTCAATCTACACACAAACACACACACACAGGAATGTGAATATACAGATTTATAATATAAACAAGTGAACACAAACAAAAAGGCAATTCAGTCTGATTATCAGGCTTGAGGGAAGTTCTAAAGGTTAAGAAGCTGCAATTTTTTGGTAAAATGTGTGACAATCAGCATTATAATGAAGTACTGTAGAGCTGCAGAGACGCTCTGATCTGCAAATCTTCTCTAGATGTAAGAAAACCAATAAATGTCACATTATCTTCATTTTAATAGAAAGAATTACATTTGAGATATCATTCCCACCGTAATGTCATATCACAATCGCAATATCTGTCTAAATAACAACAACATAAACATAGCGTCCTAGAAACTGTCTAAAATGGCCCCATCAAATAAGTAAGACCAAGTCTAATACAATCAAACAATTACTTAATATTACCCCCAAACATCAGCAGCCGTGGGGGAGCATTGCGTTCCTGCAGCACTGATTTAAATTCACAGAAAGGGAACCAAACTTTGCAGTTTTAAGTTTAGTTGCAAAAGGTTTAAGCCAGTGGGAGCAGCACATAGAGAAGCTCTTTTAGTTCAGTTTGGACTGTTAATAAAATAAGGAGGCGTGGGAACAAAAGGACATAGATTTTCTCGCATTTGATGGTGAATTTATAGAGATAAAGTGGTTGTAACCCAAGAATGGGAGGAGCAGCCTACCTGAGCCTACTGTTTGTGATAAATCTCTTATTACTACCTGCCAACAGTAATTAGTTACACTAGTAGTTATAGAACTTTCCTGCTACACCTCACAAAATTGGTAATTGTGTCCTTTCTCCCCAAATTTCAGACTTCAGCGTGTTCGCCTCTGTGTGAATGTCAAGGTAATCGCCCAGTAAGTGCAGCTTTTGTTTTAATGCAGCTTCTGAACTGATGAAAGTTACAAGCTGCATGAAAAGCACAACTGGCTCAAAGTGTTGACTAGACTAGGGCTGCACGATATGGTAAAAACACCATACTGCAATTATTGTAACATATATTGTGAGATGAGTCACAGTTAGTGTAGGAATTATCATTTTTGTATCACAAATTACATTTTCACTGAGATAAACTACTATTAAAACCATGATAATGTCACATTTCTTTGGGTTCTGTATCAACTAAACATGTTTTCTTACATCTGGAGAACAAGATTTGTAGGTCAGGGACTACAGTACTTCATTATAATGCTGTTTTGTTACACATTTTACTTTTATAGACTTCTTTATAGATTACAGCTTCTGCGATTGATATTTTGCAGTTGGCCATATTGTGATTACGATAATATTTCAAATAATTGCGCATCCCTAATTGGTTCTTTATCACCTGCAGCCTGCTGTCCACCATTAAAATCCACTTTTGTTTGTTAAAATTAGAGTAATGTTGAATATATCCAGCCGGGTTTCTGTCCTTCACGCCTGCTTCCTGCTTGTTGACGCGCATGAATTAAAAAATGAATCCAGGGATGTGATTGGATTGTTGGATTTCAGATAAGCAACAGCAAAAGTAAGGCTGTAACTAGTTACTACTCTTACTGTAATATTATTATTAGTAATGCCTTACTGTAAGGAAGCTAATGAGCAGCGAGAGGCCAGCAAGCAGATTCAGAAAAGTTACCTTGTCTCTGGTTATCTTGGGGAAGACGCCCATAACCACCTCCAGAATGGAGTCAATGAAAGCCTGTTTCAGCTCTTTGTATTCGGGCCCTCTGTTCGTCACCTTGTCGTCCTTCCACTCCTCAAACCACTCGTAGTTGGCGAAACTGACGAGACTCAAGGTGGACTTTCCTAGAGAAGGAACAGGGCAGTTGTTACGACTCGTGCATGAACCGAACGCTCGCTGTGTGTATGCTGCAACGCGTTGCTGTACCCGGTGATCTTTCCTCCCAGGTTGGATCTTTAGCCGACGGGGAGGCGACGAACAGGAGAGGTACATTCTTAGCAGATTCTTCCCGCTTTCCCTTCAGGTAGGTCTCCACCCTGTCAAAGAAAATTCACACATAATATATTTAAATATATAGATTATTTTTATAAAGGGAGACATCTTTCTATTAAAATACTGGACCAAAAGAAACTTATGTATGTATGTAGTAACTTTTTCACTATGCATGTTTTAGTTATATTCAATAAGAGATCATATCTTCCACCTGAATTCCCCCAATCGGTGCACATAATAAAAATTGAATAAAAACTGTTTTATTCAGTCATATTGTGATTTGTATGTTGACTTTAAGTGGACAGAAGTTCCTTTATTTCAGTAACCAGGTCTATGTTTGTTCAGAATTCAAATGTGAATGCAACAAGCAGCGGATACGACGTACAGTTCGTCGAAATTGTTCTCGGTGAAGATCCAGTAGTTGTCTGCTTTCAGGCCCAGCTCCTCTTTGGTTCCAGTCAGACCCAGAAAAACACTCAGGCCACCTTCACCGTTCTTCATCATACTCAGCTGCTTCTGGATGGCTGCATGGAAAGGAGAGTCACATCACACAGCACAACTTTACCAACAGCTCACAGATAAAAGCAACGTGTGTGTTTAACTCATCTGTCGAGGAAAAAATGCTAAACAATCTCTAGTCTCAGACTCAAGTGTGAGGGTTTATGGCTTGTCTCTGTTCTGTAGCACTGTACATTAAATATCTTTGGGTTTTGGGCTGTTGATTTGACAAAAAAAAAAAAACGAATGGAAGTTGTCATCTGGGCATTTTCTAGACCTGGGCAAGGGGGTCTTGAAGCATTCTTGATTTTAAAGGCGTGCTAGAAATCTAAAATCTATCTAGTTGGTTCATTTCTGTGAAGAAAATAAATAAATGTAAAGTAAATTAAATTGTCTAATAAAACAATGGCTAAGCATCAGAAACAAGAAAACACTGAATTTGAAGCCCATTAAGTTTGTATGAGTGTTAAAAATTATTAAAAAATACATAATAAAGACAAAGAATTGTATAAAACACTTATTTCCCACCTGGCATTGCTTGCAGGTCTTTGGGCAGCAGCTTCTGGTAGGTGTTGAAGATGCCAGCGTTAGAGATGACCATAGGGGCATGGACGTGTACTTCCTCCTGGCCTTTCATGACGCTCACACCTGAAACCACAAAGACAAACAAACAGTGAGTCTTCTCTCCGTTAGAGCTGCGGGACGTCTGCGTTATAGGAAATCACACCCACCATAAGCCTCCTTGGCGTCATTGAACAAGATCCGGTTGACTGGGGCTCGAACTAGCACGGCGCCACCTGCCTTCTCAATGATGGGGATCATGTGGTAGGCGATTTCAGTGGCTCCGCCTTTCGGGTACCAGGCACCGTTCAGGTAGTGAGTGACCAGCAAGCTGTGCATAGAAAAGCTGGCATCTTTCGGCATGTTTCCTGCAGGTCGGGGACGGAAACAACAGCTATGAGCAGGATTCTGAAGAAATAAACGGACGACACACCACCAGAGCTCCTCCTACCGTAGGTGCCAAAGATGTAGGCGAAGACGGCCCTGAGGTCCTTGTTCTCCGTCAGCTCATTGACCACTTCGGTCAGGCTGCGGGAGGCCATTTTGAAGAATAAGGACAGACGTTTGGCCAGGCCGGTGTAGACAAGGAACTTGGCCAAGGGGACGGGGCAGATCTTCAGCATAGCGAGGAGCCAAATGCCCCGCCCGACTTTCTGTAGACAAAACACCCAAAGATTGAGGCTATGACAGACTGACAAAGAGGTTTTCTTTCTGTAATGATCACACTTAAATTTAAAGTAAATGTTTCTGTATTGTGTATTTTGAGCGTACTAACTATATAAATATGGTTTGAGGTGTTCTTTGACTGTGTTTAATGGATGTTTAAATGGTGGTACGAGCATTTATAAATGAACTATTCAAACCAAATTTAAATCTTCTTTTGGTTACAGCATGGAAATATATAACTGGGCACTTGCTGTTCCACAGGAAAATGGAAAAGTGTATAAAAAGATGTACAGAGGAATATTTATAGACTGAAACTACTGACAAAAACATTCGAAAAATGGCAAATAATTATTAGAAATAAAATCTTAGTTCCATAAAACAATGTGAATGTTAATGTTGTGTCATAAAACTCTTATATAAATGTCTTTTTGTTTCATTCCTGCAGCTGTTAGTTGATTTTTACAAACTGCAATGAGAAATTTAAAAGAAACAAAAATAATAAAGTTGAAAGAAATGAATGCACCAGACTGACCCCATGAAGATAAAGACAGTGACATTCCTTTTATCTGTGTGTCAAAGCAGAAATGCTGTTGCAACTCAGTCTGGGTATAATGATGTAATAACGCAGCTAATAAGAGGCCTCGCCAATTATTCTGACCTTTGATTCACTGACCCTTGAACCCTTGAACAAGATCAGTGACAACATCAACAGAAATCTGGATAACGGAGCATCTTTGTGCTAAAGTGCAGTTTATAAAAACACACAGTTCACAAAGTCCCAAGATTATCACCGAATAAATATTTTACTCTAAACTTGAATGCTGATACATATTTTTGTATTGAAGGCTGCAAACAGATCCCACCTTGACCAGCTTCAAGTACTCATCGATGGCCTTCTCCTCTCCGGGGAAGCACTTCTTCAGCTCCTCGGGGAAGCGGGTCCTGCCGCTGTAGATGGGATACTGGCGGCGGTTTTCCGGTGGTCCCAGCACTACCTGGTCAAAGGGATTCTCCAGAGGCTCCCACTGCAGCTGTCCGTTGGTCATTTGGTCCAGCATGCAGCGGAACGGCTTGTGGTCCAGCAGGTCACCGATGTAGTGGATTCCTGAGGGAAGGGGTAGGTTTATATGGGACCAGGACTTGCATGTTGGAAGTCAGCATATTCTTAATTTTAGGTGCGACGTATTCATGAAAATCCTTCTTACCGACATCAAACTCAAAGCCCTTCTCGGTGAACGTGTGGCAGCATCCTCCAGCCCGATCATGCTGCTCCAGAACGAGGACTTTCTTTCCAACTTTGGCCATCAGCACCGCAAGCCCCAGTCCACCGATCCCACTGCCGATGATGATGGCATCCAGGTTCTCAGGTACTTTACTGGCCAGGAAACCTAAAGAAAAGGTGTTAAAATGTTTAAACAACCGTATGGCTGTGGCACAAAAGCAATAAATCTGAGGAATTTCATTTGAATTATTTGGTTCCACCTTTGATTTTCTCTGTTTTACATCTTTGTGAACTGAATAGATTTGGGTTTTTAGACTGTTGGAAGTGTGGATTCTTAGAGAATTTTGTCATTTTTGATATTTAAGAATAATTAGTTGGGGTAAAAGAAAGAACAACTATTAATTTGACAACCTTCAGATACCTTAAGTCATCACTCTGATTCAGTACAACTGCAGCTTTACAATACTAGCTTGTAGAGAGTTTTCATTTAGTTTTAAAGATATATCTGGATGAAGAAGTGCATGCAACGAGTCAGGGCTGCCACAAACAAATAATTTTTGCTATTGATTCATCTTTAAAATGATTTATTTCATCAATTAAATGTCAGAAACTAGTGAAAGATGCTCATTAGAACTGCCCAACAGTCCAAACCTTAAATATATTTAATTTACAACAATCTGAAAAAGCAAACAAAGAAACTCTCTCCTTTGAGAAGCTGGAACCAGACAATATTTTCATTTTATTTTGAAATGCCACCTCTGCAAGGAATGCATATCAAACAATTTGCTTCAGAAAGACACCTAAACTCGTGCATACATGTGCAAATCATTTCTAAAAAGTGAATGACAACAGAATTTGCTTAGACAGGAACATTTTAGTGTATAGTTAAAATCATTATCATGTCCACTAAGCATGTTGCAAGATATTACCGGACACCGTACAAAGTGTAAACGCCTGCAGCCACATATCTTCACTGACACTCATCTACCTCCACACATTACACATTTTAATTCATTTCAGTTCACTTTTTGCGACCAAGTTAAACAACATATTTAACGACCTTGGTGATTTTAACTCACCTTGCTTCAGAACTTTATTTTTCTCTTTCCGGTTGTGGACCATCTGTTTCAACGGCTCACGGGTGTCCGTGTCGAAGGGGTTTGGCCCGGAGCTGCCGAACACATATTTTAATAGAAATACGAGCAAACCCACACAAATGATCGCGACACTGATCCACATCGCGGCAGGTAAAATATCCACCAGGTGCTCGCTCCGTCCACTTCCGAGTTTGGACCTCGTTGAAGTACCGCCTACATAACTGACAGCCGACTCCAGCCAATGAGAGGGCTTCCTTTAGCACGCCTCAGGCAGCTTCGACCAATCAGCGTCAAGTTCAGTGTGAGAGCGACGCCCCGTTTTATGAACAAGAAGAGACCATTGACAGTGTGCAGACAGAAATCACGACCCTGCTGTGTTGCATAATTGGAAACAATGGTCTGTTTGACCCAGCTGTTGCCACATGGAGAACAACACTTTAAATAAACACTCTTATAGTAATAGTTTATTAAAATATAGATAAATAATGCTATTTATCAGTATTATTATCTTTAAATCAGTTCTAAAAGCCTATCTTTTAAAGGAAAGCTTTATTAAACCTTTTTTCTTATAAATCTTATATATTTTGTCTTTTTTATTTGTTTATTGAACTATTTTAATTAATTAATTTAAGAAATTGTTGAGTTTTAATTTGACCATAAGACAAGTCCAGGTAAGTGTGGAAAGTTTTAGTAGTCGTATTGCACGAAGAAGAAACCAGCAATACCTGTTTGTTGAGTATGTGCAGCTTTAAAACCTGATTAAGAATGCCCCATGTTGCCTGCTCTTGCCAGTGGATCATTTGTAGTAATATTATCAATAAAATGTGCAAGTTAAAGCTCAAATCTTCATGAATAAAAACTCAAAAGCCCAAAGTGTCACTTGCTCTGTGCCTTTAGATCCATGCATGAGCTTTTTTTTTTGGAGTAGCTTGACAAATAATCTTAATTTAACTTTACTCACTCCACCATCCACTGAGGAAGACTGCAGGAATGCGGTTTAACTCGCCAGAAAAAGCGAGCAAGTGGACCTTGAGTTAAGGTTCTTGCCAACAAGTTGCTGCGTGTTTAATTTGATATTCTGTGTAAACATGAACTTGAACATGAAAATCCCCAATTGACAAAAAACCATACGAAAAAACTCACAGCAACTTCTAGATTTTATTTTTTTGCTCCAAAAAAAAAAAAAAATCACCTGCATCTCCAGTCTTTTCCTGCATCATAACACCATGAGACCCAATATTCGTTTACATCTGTTCGCAAAAACGAACCAACATTGTACATAAGAAACACTTTATCACCATCATCATCATCATCATCATCATCATCACCCCGCACCCGTCTATCCAGACTGCTGCTCGTGGGCCCAGTTTCAACCTCCACCCTGAATCCTCTCAGACTTTAACCGACCAGTGTAAAGCTCCAAATGCTGCACTGAGGTCCAACGCTACCTGCGACGCTCATATTTCATATTATGTAGGTTAATACTATTGTGTTTGATGCCACTTTCTACATAAAAGCCTATAAAAGCATAATATTAGTGATGTCATTTCATGAAGTGAGACAATTTCAGACATTCGTACAGCAAAGAACTAAAACACAGCATGTGCATGTAAACGTATCGGCAGATCTTTCAGTCTTCCTTTGTGTATTTCTTGTATTTCATTATATTAAATTTACTATTTTTTAAGACTCCTTGTGTGATTTCTTCAAGCAAAGGCTGCAAAATGAGCTCAAGCACGTTCTATTTCTGCTGTCAACCTAAGTCCTCGCAGGGTGGACGTTGAAACTGGGGCACAGTTAAATCAAGAGGTGTCATTATAAATCTGATCCCTGCTGATAAATATGTTGAACGCTGCCCCCCCCCCTCGTCAGAATGCCTCCAACCTCCATTCAGATTTGTTTTTGTTTTTTTTGTCATCTCCAACTGAGCTGGTCCATTGTTATCAGTCTGTGTTTCAGGGCTTCTTCTGTTAGTGCAGTAAGCTGGAGGAGGAGGAGGAGGAGGGTCATGAAAGTTAATACAGATGAGCAGATCTCCAGAAGTCTCATCTTGTTCAAGCAGTGCTGAAACATCTCCATAATGACTTGTAGAACAGAGGGTTTGATGAGAAAAATTAAAAAATACACAGGTTCAAGCATGACAAGAGAAATCTTAACAGAAGCCCTTATCCGGTGTTCACTTTTGGTATTTATTACCTCACCTTTTTGAGCCTTTTCCTCTTTAAAATATTTTTTGATCATTTTGATTTTTTTTCCTTTTTTATCTCTAAAACTGAAAAGATGACAGATTTATTTTAATTGCAAAAAAAAGAAGAAAAAAAAGCACTTCCAACATTTCAGAATAAAATAAAACTGATTCTAGTCTGTATGTGTTAGGGCATAATCCGCAGTAATGTTTGATATTATTTACATGTACTGTAGGTTTTTGTAGGTATGCCAACAGTGGGTGTTTGGTATACAGTGATCTGTGCAAACTGTTCTCATGTATATGTGTGTTTGGTACAATCAAGACAGCTCTCAGATGAAATACAGTTGTTTTTGGGATGGTAACTACAATGGCTTAAGGTCCATGTGATCGAGGGAGGAGGAAGAGCGGGAAGACTCCCCCTGCCTCCCCGCCTGGCAGCGGTAGTGCAGGTCATAGTTCAAAAAGGTCAAAAAGTAAAAATGGGCGGTGGGTTTTCCTTTCCTGAAGCAGGAAGTCATCAGTCCATCTGTCAAGGTGGTCAGTGCGATGGTGGTCTCTCTCCAGGCCTGTTGGTGACACTTGATTGTGGCGTAGAGGGATGTCACTGCAGCACCAGCCCAACCTGAGACAGAAAGAGTGCAGCCATTATTCCTGAGTTCACAAAGTTAAATGTAAGACTTTTTAATAACACACAACATTAATTAATGCTTCATCGGATGACAGTATGATGGAAAACCAGTTGGGATGACCGGGTCCAGAGTTATTTATTACAATATCACATTTTTTCCCCAGCACTATATAACCGTAATGATATAATAAATTAAATTAACGTGACCTGGATCCAGATAAGCAGCAGAAAATGGCTGAAAGGATTAAGCGATTAAATATGATTCATTCATTCAAGTTAATTTAAGTTTCTGCTAAAACTGACACTTCCCATTATGAGGCGATGAGCTTCCTATCTGCTGTAGTTACAGTGTTTGCTAGAGGTCGGAGTCTACTGACGGAAACTCCACGAAAAGAGAAGTGAACAGACCTTTCTCACAGCAGACATAAACTAGTTTAAATAACACACGTTATTAAGGATACTAAGGATCATTGTACCTGTGTTTACCCTACTATTCATGTCAAAATGGCTTCTGTGATAAAGCTCCAGCCACTGTCGCAACAATCCCCCATTGTGTCTCCCGATTGCTCTATCTGAACACTGTATAACAAACATTAGCGCCTACAGTCGGCAAGAGAACATTTGTAAATAAAACTGACTAAAAAAAGACTTTCATACCTTGTAATGTCTTTTTTCTGGAGGAAATTAAATGCCGACCTGCAGATACCCCGAGGTTATATTAATGATATTAAAAAGACGTCATCCCGGTACCTCCAACTACTGATCTCTTCTTCTAGTTGCCTGTTATTCATTTAGTTACTTACTTTTTCTTGTTTAATATGTTTCTTTTTATATTGTCTTCTTATTCTGTTTGTTTTTAATACCCCTGATGGAGTCAATATTTGTGCTGCCTTGTCATGTTTCATATGTCTTCCTCTCTTAAATTTTACTCTTGCACTGTCACCACAAAGAAAAAGTAATCCTAGAAAATGTACCTTTTCTGACCCCATGCTGGGACACTTCCAATTGTACAGATAATACTGTAGATTTCCATCACCGATGCCGAACTTAAGCTTCTCCAAGAAATTCTTGTTTTCCATTAGATCCAGTGCATTGAAGACATCAAACCCTTTCTGTGTAAAGACATGAGAGGGGAGACAATACTTAGTTTCCTGGGAGTCAATATTTCAGAGAACATAGAAGATTGAGGAGGAACACGCACCGATTTGGCCAGGATGAGGGCGTCAGACATCAGGTCGAGCAGGGTGGTGGTGGTGTGCACGTTGTAGAAGGAGTACGCTGCTTTTAGGCTGCGGTGCACAGGGTGGTTCATAATGGTAGAGGGCAGTGTGTAAAAACTCAGGAAATCCGTCACCTTGCCGTCATTCTGTGAAGAGAACGTGTGTTTTCATAAAGCCGCTCGAGGGTTGTTTTAAGGCAGAATTATTTAAAAAAAATAAAATAAAATTGTATTTATCTTTTTTACCTCCACCAGGAAAGTGTCGATTATATTCTCCCGGGGCAGCAGCCAGTGTTCTACCTCTTCCTGGTTCATGGCGGGCACCAGGTGAAACTGGCTCAGGTACTCACGAAGGAGGCGATGCACCACCGGCACATCCTTCTTGGTCATCGGCCGCAGACCTTGAGTCTTTGGAGCCTGAAGGAGAGAGAGAGAGAGAAGACAGGAGGAGGAGAGGAATGAAGACGTGGCAGAGCTGTGCGATCTAAACTTTACTTATGTGTGCGTTTTTCACCAACCTCAGGCAGACGGTACAACTTCATGGTGCGCTGCATAGTCATGTTCCTGCTCAGATGGGAGAACTTCACCTCGATTAGTTTGCGTGGGTTCAACGAGCGATGCCAGTACCTGTGCAAAGAAATCGGATTTGTAAGTACTCGGCGATAAAAAAAAGGAAGAAGACAGAAGAGTGTGTGTGTGCAGTATGCTGAGAGCTATTCAGTCACACTCACCTGCATGTACCCACAGGTTTGGGCAGTACCACTCCAGCAGTGTAGACCGCCTGAAAGATACCCTCCAGGTTGACCCGTCTGGTGATTTCTCTAATCAGAACCGGAGCAACTCGTTTGGAGCGAAGCTTCTTGTGGACGCAGAGGAAATTGATCTCAACCATTTTCTTTTCTCTAAAACATCAAACAATTTATCACGTGAGGAAATCAGTGAATACAGTCAAACAATAAACTGAGTGGCCACTTTATTAGGTACACCTGTACTAATATAATTCATTACAACTGTTCTGCCAGCAATTCTACCTTTTATGAAGTTCATAATGTTTTTAAGACAACATCAGTAACTCTATTATACGTTATTACAGACTAATAGTTGAAGGTGGTGTTTTACTGGACTACATTATATTGACATAAATGTTTTCCCCATTTAGATACATGAAGAAAAATATTAGAATCACCTCTGAACATAATGCAGTCCAGTAAAACATGACTATGACCTCAATGCTTAAAATATAACTTAATTAACACCTCTGTGACAGTGTCTGTACAGTATGGGCATAAAAGTGGCAGAACAGTTGTGTTGGATTGCATTAGATTGTACAGGTGTACCTAATAAAGTGGCCACTATATAATTAAACAGAAAAGTAAACTGTCTGAGTTCAGCAGCATGTGATGTTTAATTCATCATATTTTCAAGCTCTTACATGTCGTAGATACGGATGGAAGCAGGAATGGCACTGATGAAGCCTACCAGCTTCTGGTTGGAGTTAACTCTCACCCCACAATGCCACTGGGGCAACCAGCCGGGGGGCCGCAGGGCCCTGAGAAAGAGACAAGTCAGTCAGTAAATGGGGAAGATTTCACAGTTGTAATATTATATAAAACATTTGTCTGGGTGTAAAACTGGAGGAATATCAGTTCTGACAAGAATTACCAGAGCAGGAACTCGGGGGAGTAGTCAAATCGGAACATGTTGTCGTCATCTTCAACATAATTCTCATTGAGAAGCGTGTAAAGCTCCTTGAGCTGGTTTTATAAAAGAAATAACAGAATTAGACATCAGGTCACAACCTTTACAAACACGAGAGAGAAGGAATAAAACAAGGTAAAACCAAAGGATTGAAGTAAAAAGGTTAAATTCTTTAAATGATAACAAATTCAAAAACAGTTTTGTAATTTCTCACGTGCTGCTACGGCTGTGTGTGTGTGTGTGTGTTTATACTCTCGTACCACAGCAGCGTTCCCCAAGTCGAGGGTGTCCCAGCTGAAGCCCTGTGGGAGGCTGTAGGGCTCCTCACGAATGTGGTCTTTGTCAGGTTCAATGGAGCCGTGTGACGTCACCGTCTCCCCTGAAGGAAAACAAAACTCTCTGACGTGAAGCACAGAAACCCACCGCACATGAAATTCACTCGTTTGTGGTTGTGTTTTTTTGTTTTGTTTTTACTGAACTGAAAACTGAGAACTGAAAGCCCTGACAAAATGTCACACCTAGCTTGGGCACCGGCTGCGTGTCCCAGAACTGGTAACTCCTCCGAGTCGCCTCCTCCATGGTTTTGGCAGGGCCTTGGCCTACGGAGAACAGTTCAATGGCCTTCTGGATCTCCTGGAGCTTATCAGCTGGCAATGAATTCACCTGTTTGGAAAAGTACGAACGAATTCAATTAAGACACAAAGCAACACTATAACTTCACCCACATAAATAATTATTTTAAATGTAAACAGAAGTGTGAGTTGTGTCTGATCAGCACTGGAAGTAAAGATTGTAACTGCAACTGTAAATCACACCTGAATGAGACTATTTCTGTTGTCTTTTTTAAATTTCAGGGTGATATGACCTGGAACTAATACCTTGGCAAGGGGGTCCTGAGCTGCTTCTGGGGCGCCAGATTTCTTCTTCTTTTTCTGCTTCTTTTTCTTCTTCTTGGCGCCAGTGTCGTCACCCAGACCCCGGTCACTGAAGGGGGACAGAAATAGAAAGATATCCAAATGAGTCTGCAATCCCAGAGGAAAGACACACCGTGGTCAAACTGTAGTATTTTTAATCTCTACCTGGGACATCACGGGAGGATTAAAGCTGCATCACACACACACACACACACACACACACACACTTTTTTGTTAAAATAATATACATACACACATCTTATTGGCTGTTCTCTGTTTTCCAACACCATTTCATATTTCAGTCAGGAAATAAAGTCACTGTTAGTAGGAAAAGGTTTTCTAGACTCAGACGGTCACTTAGAAACCGTTCTCAACCTGTAGTTCAATCTCAGGTGTAGCTCTCGGACACACACACACACACACACACAACACACACACACACACACACACACACCAGCTATCCCAGTTTCTAGTCTGAGAGAGACTGCATACTTACAGAGGATAATCTCATTAGTGTCCAACTAATAGAGGGGAGAGGCCAAGCACTGGCCCGTATTTGTAACACCAGCACAGATGGTGAATCACATGATCTACGTGTGTGTGTGTGTGTGTGTGTGTGTGTGTGTGTGGTGTGTGGTGTACATAGTATATATGTACAAGAGGCTCAGTGACTGAATGGGGACAATGACGACAAAACATCACTATTTGTCCACAGCTCCACCTCGAACAGAAGTGACGAGGCAAACTAGCCGTGACTATTCTTTGGGTCTTTCTGTGTGTTTGTGTGGTTGTCGTGTTGTGTGTGTGTGTGTGTGCATGGGAGTTACATGTGTTGCTCGAAAAAAAGCTCACATTTTGCTTCACTTCAGTTCATAAACAGGCTCATCACTTTCCTCTAACAGCAGTGGTGGGTTGGGTAGAAAAATGTGTCCAAATGTTTGCTTCTGTTTATTCCCCTAAACAAAAAAACAAAATCCTTAAATTAAAAGAGTCCATCTCATGACCACAATAAGGCCCTAACTTGTGATGGAGGGTTACAAGTAAACACTGATGTCTTTGAAGTGGTCTTAAAGCCTTACAGCAGCACTTTCTCTCTCTCTCTCTCTTTCCATTTGCTGCCCAAAATACAGCCATGAGCAGGACACGCCTTAATATTAGCACCCTTTTTAAGGCTCTCCCTTTCTTTAAATGTGTGTCACCGCTTGGTAAACATTAACAGACGCCAATGCTCAGAAGCGAAGCAGGATTTCCACCAAAGCCCGTTTTGTAAGAGCAACTCTGGAGGCTGATTTAGGACCTTTTCATATTCATTTGATTTCAATAAAATGAAAATAAAGGGAGGATGATGAAGGGGGGAGGAAGCACAGCCCCCCCCTAACGGCCTGATTTAATTACCATGCAGCGTGTGTGGGATGTTTTATGTGTAAGCTTGTTTCACTTTTGATTCGTCTGCAGACAATAGCGGTTTGACAGCTACGTTAGCACGGGAGCTAACGTTGCTTCGGCATTTCCAACGGCTCCCAACCGGCCGTGCGATTCAAATATCGCGCTGCCAACTTCATGAAAACGTTCAGCTTTTCACACATACGTCTCACGAGTGGTAGTGGATCTCACATCGTAGCATAACACTGTCTTTTCAAGCGCACTTTGCTATTTTATTTTATTTTTTTATTTTTTTTTAACCCCCCCCATACTGTAACGCCTTGCTAGCTAACCTGAAGGAGAAGAGGAGGGGAGGGGAAGGGCCGTTAAAGCCCGCCCACACGGGGGAACAGAACGCACTCTCGGCCAATCACATCAAAGAACTGGCAGGCGAGCGCCGCTTCTAACCAATCGCGTTGAAGGCAAGTGGGCGGGACTACTTTCCAACCCGATGGCTGTCTAACCCCCCGATCGCTCCGCCGAGGCATTTTTTTAGCTCGCACACTCGCTTTGCTACAGGCTCACAAGCGATGTGACATATTCTCAACCGCCGCGACGAGCCCGCCCGCTTACCCGTCGTCAAAGTGGTGCTCCTCGTTTTCACAGTCGCTGCAGTGTCCGTGGTCCTCTACATCTTCTTTCTCCGGCATCGGTGCTGTCTCATTCTCATCCGCCATCTTCGACCAGGAAGTGAGGAGAGCGACCGCGTGCCACCGACGGCTTTAAACCTCCCTCGTTTGCTATTGGCTGAGAGCGGTGTTGTCTTCTAGTGGCTGTTTTTTCTTGTTTTCTTTATTTATTTTTTTTATAAGAAGTTATAGTGAAACACATGGTATATAATGAAGTGAGGGGTTTTGAGTGTGAAGTTTTTAAAAAAATTCTCCAGTTTTTTTTTTAATAATCCAGTTTTTAAAAAAATAAATTCTCCAATTTAAAAAAATAAATTATCTAGTTTTTTTTTATTCTCCAGTTTTTTAAAAAAATTATCCAGCTTTTTTTTTTTTTTTAAATCTCCAGTTTTTTTTTAATTCTCCAGTTTTTAAAAAAATAAATTCTCCAATTTAAAAAAATAAATTATCAAGTTTTTTTTTAATTCTCCAGTTTTTAAAAAAAATTATCCAGCTTTTTTTTTTTTATAATATTATCCAGTTATTTTAAAAAAAAAACTTATCAATTTTTTTTGGTGGATTTAATCTCACACAAACATGATTAGAGAACATGTGATTTATATTTGCCCCCCCCCCCCAAAAAAAGGAAGATGATGACAGTGAAAGGGGGTTGACAGAAAGCACGTAAGGAGCAGATATGAATAGACTAATCACATGCAGTGTTTGAATAAGTGGGTTGATTCTTAATTTATGCCCCTTAAGGATAAACACCATACTCTTGCATATGTAGCTCACGTTATAATATAATATTTGCACATTGTCACTTCTGCTACTAAACTTCAGGCAGTGAGGATCATTACGAAATTAACATAAGATGTGGATATTTTGCAGCTACCTTAACATCTTCCATCCACAGATCAGCTCGCAGAAGATAACTGAATGATCAGAGGGGATTTAGAAGTAAAATAAGTGGGTATATACATATACCTGTGTATAACCTGCACTACACCACTGACCACATGTATAAAGTGATAAAAGGGACTGCTTTCTAATAATACAGCCTTTAAGAAGTGGTTGTAAGTTGTAACTAAAGACTTAATTATTGGTAATATGTGTTTTATGAACAATTTTTATAGCCTACATGTTTTATGCACTAAATAATACAAATTTCATTTGTCAACAAAACACACAAAAAAGTGACTTCCTTACCCAGCATAGTTTGATATTTAAAAAGAGGCTCAATAATTTCCATAAACAGCTGGGCACTGTGGTTTTCAGCAAACGTTTGTCAAACTAGAGTTTGCAGCTGTGAACATGATGCACTAACAAGCACTGTTTGCAGCTGTGAACATGATGCACTAACAAGCATTTACAGCAGCAGGATAGTGCATTTTGGACTGACTCGAATCAAATTACAATGCCCATGTTCATCATAATGAAGGGACATGTCACCCAGTGCAACGGCGTGGCTTATTAATGGGTTTTTAATCGTTTTTGGACAACAATAGAGGCACATGAGGAGGAATACGATTTATCAGGCTTTGAGTACATAAACGACGCTTGTTAGCAGGATGAATTAATTGTTGGTTTCTGTGTTTTCATGAGGTTTGTTGACAATAAGAAAAATATAAAATATCACAACTTTTTCTTAAGAGAGAAAACAACTTGACTTGGTTGGACAGTTTGATCATCTATCTGCTGTAAACAGCCTGCTGAGAATCTGGATTCAACAACTTATTTACATCTGTGTTATAATGGGTTATTAGGAAGTGACAGACTTTAAAATGACCAAGATCTACAACATTTATAAAAGCATTATTACCAAATAGAAATGATAAACACCAGTCAACAGAATTTGCAACAATCTGGAAACTCAAAATTAGTTCCTGTAAGAGTTCAGATAAAGGTGCTTTATTCGAACGTGATTTATTACTTTGAGAGCGGAGGGTGCAGACCAGCGTGAGCTTCACTGCAAGCTTATCAAAAACCTTTTATTCATTTTTGAAAAAAGAGCACAATAGCTAAAAAAAACACTCACTTAACAAAGTGTGGTGCACTGTGACATATTTTTGTCATATATGTTCTGGACTTTACATTGTATCCTGGCAGTAGAACATGAGACAGATCATCAATAATCAACTAGCTTTCTTATTCTCCAATCCAACGCGCCTTTGTATCTTTTTCAGCTCTGATTGGTTGTTTTTGTTCAGGCCAGGTGGATTCTTGCAAACGCCACCAGGAGCACTAGGAGGAGCAGAAGGAACCTGTTATTTTTTCTCAGATTATCTGTCTTCATGTCTGCTGTCAGTGATATAGTGAAAGTGTTCGCAAATATGACAAAAATTTATTTTTGGAACAGTACCTACTGCGGCTTTTAAAAGGACCAGTGCTGTAGGGATTTGAACTAAAGCTGAACACTGCTGGGTCTCGTATTTGCAACCTGGAGAATGAGGAACGGGCGCTGGACAGTTGTAGGAAAAAAACACAAAAGGCCCTTATCTAAGAGCCAGTGTGTGCCTTTGGTCCGTTCTGAACTTACGTAGAAACATGGCCGGTTCAACATGTGGACTCCTCTGGAATGGGAACCCCTTGTCTGTAGATAAAAACTGCTCATTATAAGGTAACAAAAATACAACAATTCCTATATTCAGGTGATTATACACTAAAGAAAACATACCTGTGAATATTATATTACATTTCTGCCAACAGATCCTCCTAAATGTTACACACTGGGCCTTTAATTGTTTTATACAGTGGTACCAGCATTATTAAAAATAGCCTCCTGCATTATTCTGCACACATGCAGTTCATTGGCCCTCTGAACCTGCAAAGCTTATCAGATTGCAAAATGTTCAGCTGTTCAGAAGGTAAAGAAGAGTTAAATGCAAACCAAATGTGATGTGGAAATATTCCTCCATCTATGTATTCCTACACAGTCCCCATCCCCCTAAACAAACACACACACACACACACACACACACACACACACACACTTATCTTGCAAACACAACAACAAAAGAGCTCACACAGCAATGTGTTATTAGTTCTTTTATGAAAACAGTATTTTCTCACAAAACACAGACTGCCATTCACACAACATAGGCTATAAGATTTAAAATCTGCAAAGTCATACTTTACTCATTTGTCACATGCTATGGAAATCCAATCCTGATCATATATGCTGTAATTACAGTAATCCACGTGCAACACCTTTCATTACAGCACGATTTTATTATCAGGGAACCTCCTTGTAAGAATATTAAATGATTCACTAGAGCTTTCAGTAATTGCTGGTTGTATTAGATTGTTGCAAATACAAATTTCTACATCCAAATGTTAAGGACAAGAACTGGCAACAAACATGATTTATGCAGAGTTGTCAAGGAGCCTACAAGCAAATATATTTTTTTTAAAAACCAAACACACTATTTGACTGACATCCTGCTGAGGTAAATACAACATTTTTAAGAGCACAAGTACACATCAGTCTGTAAGTTAATACTGTTAAAATTTCAAGTTAATTCATAAGTTGTGGAAACATACTGTCATTTGTCTCAGAAAATAAAATCTTTCTCTAGAGAGAAATTAAAAGTGCCAAGTATCTGGAGTATCAGGTAAGAATAACTACTCATTTTGTTCAGTCTGCATGGACAAGACAACCTGTGACAATCATTTACATCTGTATTACATCACATTTAGTGCTGAAAACAATCATTTCTAAAACATATTCATCATTTTTTAATCACAGACAGTCATGTTTGTATTCTAACTACAGCACTTATGAGCCAGCCTCAGTTAAGTTAGTGCGTTTTTTTTATTATTAAGCATTTTTAAGTATTTATCATCGTACTTTAAGTTCGAGATGAAAAATGTAAATGGTTTTCTTGATTTTAAGAGGTGTAAAAAAACAACTTTAAAAATATACCCACAGCAACCCTGTGGGTATAGGGGTTGCTTTAAACTTAAAATGTAGTCAGTAATCTCATCCAAGTATCACAATATTAAAGTACTTTTGGATTACCTCAACACTAAAGAACACTAAAAAGACAATAGAAACAGAACAATGTGAGCTTAGAAAAGAAAATGGGGAAGCCAAGATCTTTAGCTTAAAAATGTCCTTTGCTAAGTGTAAAAACTTTTCATTAAGAAAATCCAGGCAGCAGCCTATAGATCATATTCACAGCTGAAAAGCACAACTTGCACTGTAATGTGATGTATCTGAAAAGAGTAATCCTGCTATATATACACACACATATATATAAAACAGACTAAAAAATAAAACATATAAAACAGGAAATAATCTGCTCAAAATTCATCCAAATCGCTCATTTTACATAAACGTCCTGTAGTTATTGTGTTCACTATTTGGGTTAATTGTACTGTTGTTATGTTCTGTTATTGTTATGCACTGAATATTATACTAATTGTCCATAAAATGTGTCACTTAGTCAGGGCTTTACTCAGTGATAGAAAAAGGGGGTCCCTTAAGGAAAAAGGTTGGGAACCAGTGAAATAACACATCTTCACACTGTCTGATAAATTAAGGGATAACCTACATGAGAGTTAATAACAATAAATTGAATTTTGTAACAAATCCCCTATCAGTATGGATCACGAACCACAATCCTCAGTGCCCCGTTTCCAGAACACTCAGCACTGACAAGACCAAATACTACCACAGTATCATGGATTCATTATCCAGCCCGAGGCAATTCATTTGCTAAGAGGCAGCGCGCTTCTTTATCTCTGATAAACGACATCTTTCTTCCTGCATTGGGAAGTGGCTCAGTGTAAATTGGACCACTTGAGGTCTGAACTGGGAGACCGTCTGCCAGCAGCAGCAGCAGCAGCAGTCTTTCCCTCTCTTTCTCTTTCTCCTCACATTTAGAGCTCCCTTTCCAAAGCCCTTTGTTATCAGAAAATGCAGTTTTCCGTCTAGTTCAGATGCACGTCATGCCTTGCTTTTGGCCATGGCTATATGCTCGGACACAGTTTTGACGGGAACTCCTTTGCGGACTTTGACGTGGATGAAGAGTGTGGCAGGGGACAGACTGGAACCATCTGCCTTCAGTAAATGAACATGTCGATAACCTGAGAAGAAATAATATATTACACATGTTACAAACAACATGCCACAGTGGTGACTGTTCAATAATATGCACAGGGAATCTTTAAGCTGTTCCTAACCTGTTCGTAGGCTTGTGAAAGGTATAGTGAACTGCCCCACAAAGTCATTTTTGGCAGTGTGGTCGTGGTCCTCCACTACAAACCGCACCAGGGCCAGATCGGGGACCTGCAGCTGGAAGCTCAGAGTGCAGTCCCATCGTGGGTTAAAGCCTGTAGAGGGCGCGCAAGAGCTGTAAATACATCATCCAGTCCTGCACCTTTCAAACAAATTAATCATGGGCTTGGAAAGGCTCCTGCAAAAATATGTCAAAGAGCTGAGCTGCTTATTGCTGCCATCTATTGCCTCATTACATCAATCTAAAATCAGGCAATAATTAAAAAAAACTGCATAACATGATTTTACAGCATTAACATGTTTGCATAAAGCTCTCTGCTTAAAACATTCATACTGGTGATAATATAAAGTTGATGCTTTAATGAAGTCTCAGAGTTACCATTATTGTCGATGCGGTGGGTTTTGTCTCTTGTATTATCAATAGCCACCCCATGAATTTCCACCCACACTTGTGGGTCCACAATGGAGCTGGCCTTCTCTGTGTTGATTTTTGGCAGCTGCTGTGCAGATATTATCTGTAAAGCAAAACCTAGTCAGTCAATTTTGATCAAATTCTGATAGGGAATCTAATAAAATTATATTCAAATCAAGTCAAAACAAATATCACTCAGAGGGCCTCACAATCTGTACAGCATACAACAGCCTTAATCTTTAGGACCTTATTTCAGATAAGAAAAGCAAAAAAAAAAAACAACAAACAACCTTTAACAGGAAGAAATCTCAGGAAGGGTGAGAGAGGAAGGATTCCTCTTGCAGAACGAACAGACATGCAATAGATGTTGAAGTAAACAGAAACAACAATAGTATGTAAAAACAATGAAACAATATTAGACACTGTATTTGACACCGTTACTCAATAGGTTACCACTCACTCGTATAGTCAGCTGGGTGGGGACGTGACCAGGGCCTCCTCCTGTGTTCTCTGGGTTAAAGTTGGACGTGGGGCTGCACAGGAAGCTCGGTTTGAGGACGTATCCACAGCGACCGTTGGGGAGGAAGCGACCCTGGTTCAGGTCCATTTGCTCCCCGGGTGTCTGGAAGTTCAGAGCCACTGCACAGCACAGAGAGTGGAGTCAGTAACATGGCAAGCCTGATCGCACACGTGCAAACGGAAAACATTTCAGCATCAGTGAGTGCTGAATTACACCCGGTAAATCAGTAAAAAGCCGGTGACATCAATGTGTTGTGGTGTGGCAGTAATGTGCAGAAATGAGAGTCAGTAAAACATCTCTTTGGCTCTTAGTGACCACATAATGTTTTTCAAATGAATTGCCTTAATTTGCTCTCTATCAGAACAGCATCCTAGCCTCTAGTCTGGAGTACTAACCCATCTGGCAGCCACCGTTCCACATTTCCTGAGGATCATAGTTGGATGATTGGAGGCGCTGGCCGGAGGGGTAGATCCGGCTCAGCTGCTTGCTGTTGTGTCTCACAAAAAGCTTTCCTGCAAATGAAAAGATAGAAAACCACATGCCATGATACACCGGAGGCTGATGATATTTTTCTGTAGAATCAGCTGCAGCAAAAGCAATGTCTGCAGATTCTTGTTGACTTTCTATCATGTCAACATGCAATTATTTCCTCTGTTGTACCTGAGTCTTTGATGAGCTTGAGGGCCTCATTCTCAGAGAAGGAGGACATTTCATTTGGGGGTTTTCCAGATGCATTTTCAAACCCACGGAAGGGGACACTACTGCAGTACACCACCAGATCTGAGAGCGCTGGGCTCAGTTTAGAACAGACCTGGGAAGCACAAACATCAAAGAAAATAACCAGATTACCTAAAAAGTTCACTTTAACAGCGTCTCAGGCTTGATGAAAGTCTTCCTGAACTGACCATTGCAGGATCTTTCTTGGGTGTGTTCTTTGTGCTGCCTGCTAGTTCATCTTCAGAGCTTGAGGAGAAACTCGCACAGCTGCCATTCTTGCCCAACTGGCTCAGGTGAGAAACCTGCTTCTTCCCTTTTACCAGAATACGCCTCTTCAGCTCCTGCAGTGAAGATCATTGGAACAAATTGCTTCATTAGAAAACCAGACAGCCAGAGTTCTTAGAAAAAGGATCCAGCTGTGTGCTTTGTACCTCAGGAGAAGGCAGGTCTTTAAGCGGCTGGCCACTGAGGGGCTTGGTTAGCAGTTTGTTGCCCAGGATGGCGCGGAGGTGTTTGGCCATGACAGCCTGCTGCTCCACAGAACAGTGGTTCTCCAAGGACAGGATTAGAGGGTATGGGGACGCCTGCAGGGACAAACACAGGAAAACCCGTACGCCAAGCCATTAAAATGCAATTAGAGCACATAACAGCAGTACATGAACCCAACACTGCAATGCTATAGTATGTCAAAACCAAAATACCGCTGGGCTGCCTCTGAGCCAAGTATGCAACCACAAGAAGCAAGAAGTCAGGGATCTGGATTTGTTTACTGACTGACTACTCAATTATTTCATTAGCGGTAACGGGAAGCAGCAGTCACAGCTGAGGATTTACACCAAGAAATCAAGTTCCTCTCACCTTGAAGGCGTACTGGGCGATGGTTTCAATGACCTCCTTGAAAGGCACTTTGGAGGTGAGAGTGTGGCCGTGGTAGATGACAGGTTCACCTTTATCTCCATCCCAGCAGTCCAGCTCCACACAGCGACAGCCCTGATTCAGAGCCCTGTCAGAGAAAGACACGTACCACAGGACGGTCACAGAGAGCAGGGTTTCTGGATGGATTCTGAAAATCCAAATAGTTGTTGGATGGGTCAGTGTCTGAGTACCTGATGTATGGCTCACTGCTGCTGGCACTGGTAACTTGATCCTTGGTGAGGTAAGTGTTGTGCGACGAGGAGATGAAGTAGTGGGCCAAAGGGTGGCTCATGTCCTGGTAGACTCTGGTATGGTCAGGGTTAACCACATCGTTCTCCTGCGACAGCATGTACATGGTGAAACCATTCTGGGTCATGAACTGGTTCTTCTGAGCTGCAACAAATAGAAACGTGTTTCCATCGAGTTGGTTTACCAGCAAAACTGGTGAGAATTTAATTAAAAGGGAACAGTTTACACTAAATTACAGCCTCCTTCTGTCACAGTCTAGACGGAAAAATCCTGAAGTCTTTTATTAATTATGTTGACAGTATTTGTTTCTAAGCTGTGATGTTTCTCCACTGGCAGTCAAACAGTGTTGAAATCATTTCACCCAGTCAGCTCCTTTATCTTGGAAACCTAATAATGTTTTACAAATATGGACTTTTGTGTACAAGATAATTACAGACAATTAAAATAACCAGTAATATTAATCTAATTCTATCTAATTTAGTTATAATGACGTTTTCTTTGAACTATGTAACAATGACAGCTCAAGTTAGCGAGGTCAAATGTAGGTAAATATTGCTGTATAAAGGATCATTACTGAGTTAGTTTGCTGACTTTATAACCCATTTGTGCTACTGTAGCTTAGCATTTGAGCTACATGCTAAAAAGTAGATTAGCATTTAAGTCTTATCCCATAATTGTCATTTGTAGCCGCTGTTCAGCAAATGTTGTATAGTCTTACAGCAAGCTTTAAATAGATTGTTTTTTAAATGTCATATTGTTATACATACATATCATTGTAACTGTAAATATTTTTTTTTAATATTTACTGAAAGTAGACGTAATGAATAAGCCATTTTTGGCCTTTTTATCCTCTCAGTGAACACAACTGATATTTGTTTCATTTGAACTTAAGTAAATAAAACTCAAACTCTTTTACTTGGATATTCTGTTATTAAGTTTGACTTTTTGTGGGCGGCATTTTGCTCTTTTTTATTATATTTCAGCCATGGCAGCTATTATTGCTCATTCTAACTACTTAAAACAAACCCACTCTCACTGCCTCACATCACATTATTGTGCAACAAAGGATTCTTGTCTCAGTGTTCAGACTAAACCACTATTTTGTCAGGAGACGGTATCAAAAGGGACATTCAGAGTGTTTATATGAAAATGTTATGGGTTCTTCCTTTAAAGCCTTTAATGAATGCTTTTAGGGCCTACCCCAGTCATTGAGCTCATAGGTGAGTATGAGAGTCTGGGCGTGATTCAATGAGGCGTCTTCTCCTTGGTCTCCCAGGAAGTCTCGCAGCTCAGCGGTGGCGAGCACACAACCATTGCTTGAATAGTGTCTGAACACGGCGTCCAGCTCAGGCCGTCGCATCAGCTCCCTGCAGAACTCCTCGATCTCTATGTGATCCAGGCGATTATCACCGGATCGGTCACACCTCTGGGATGCAGTTATGGGTTAAAACACACACAGAGAGAAAGGTAGACCCAATCAAACACAGTATGCTTTTCTTTTGGGAGTGCGTTGAATTCCCTGTGGAGAAAGCATCTCGGTAACAATACAACCCAGCTGTGCACACTTACATTAAAAATATGGTTCTCTGAGGAGGGCCAGGATTGGAAATTGCAGCAGGAAGGAGCATAAAAACCAACAATTCTGTTGTAATAGAGATCCGATGGAACATAGCAGGCAGTAATCCGCCACAATAAAAAAATAACTGGCTCTTGATTTGTTATGGGAGGGGATAAAATGTGAAGGGGGGCTGGTGGTTGGCTTGCCGCTGGCTTGGTAATTGAACACAGACTGTACACTCCAGGGTGTCAGTGTAAACTGAGCTCATATAAATTACATCTACTGACCATAAGCTGAGGGTACAGGTGCTCAGAAACTCACATAACGTACACATGGCGACCCTGACCTTGAATAAAGAGCGGGCGTACTGCTCACTCAGGTCAATGTTGATCATCTGAAGCAGCCGCTTGACCTCATCGTAGCTCATCTTGCCGTCCTGGTTCTGATCCGCTCGCCTCAGGTAGCCTCGGATCCAAGTGTGGAGGGTTAAGGAATAAAGCCAGACTAAAAAGCTAAACAGTTAACAGTTAACAGTTAACAAGCTAGGCAGTCTTTGGATTCAAAATCTTACACTTAACTGGATTATGCTTCCTGATGTGGAGAGACATCATTTTCTACGCTCTGTGCTGTCATATTGCAGCTTTTTATTGGTTATTGAACCACTTGGCACATATTGTTTGCCCTGGAGGGGGGCACTTATAATTTGTGATGCCATATATGCAGGCAGAATGCAATTATTATATGTCCCTTTGGAGAAAAAAAGCATCTGCCAAATTAATATATAGCTGCATGAAAGAGTCGATAGCAACAAGAGACTTATTTTAGTTTGTTGTTACCTGCCTGTAACACAGAAAGCCCACACATTTAATATATCATATATCAATATATCACCTAGGCTACTGAAAGTCCACAGTATGAAACATAATAAACTACAAAATAGCATGTACAAGATAATTGTGCTGCTGTATTCATATGTTCACAAAACGAAAATGATATCAACAGCAGCACTACCTGGGAATGTAATTAACAGTGATAGTCGGACTATATTTAGACAGGGCTTTTTTATCTGGTCATTACTGCTCACCTTAGCAATGCTGTGGATGTGGGAAGGCACATGTGACAGCAGAGTCAGTCACCATAGCAGTGCTGCCTCAGCCACACTATATTTATTCTAGCATAATTAGAAATTTGGCAGGATATTGGTCCAGTTTTTCCTTCTGAGTCATGTTGGTCACGTGATCCTTTAAAGTGCGGAGCCCTCGCACCCAACGCTTAGCTTCGTCCTCACAGGGGCACAGCAGGTCCAGGCTCTTCCTGGCTCCTCTGAAGACCACTGTGAAGCACTGGTTCTCCTGCCCCGACCCAGACAGACGCCTCAGCGCCTCGGACTGGCAGCCCTCACGCACACACTCCACTTCTGTCACTGCGACTGGGAGAGGAGAGGAAGAAAAATAAAAAAAAAGCTCTTGTGTTCTCTTGTGTTGTTGTTGAGTAAACACAGCCATGGAGCAAAGCGGTTAAAGGTCAAACCTCATGTGTTTTTAGGGATTCTTAAATCCCACCAAGCAGAGTGACAGCGACGTGATTGTAAAATATAACGTGCTTCTCAACAGAATAATTTTAACCTGCAACTTTATGACTCTCAACACAAGTGAAGGCTGGACCTTCAGGTTGTGCCATCAAATGTGTAAAGGAGGTAGAGCAAGGTCTTCTAATAGGTTTTATAGCAGTTCATATGTAAACGTGCTGGCTGCATGGCATCATTTGGAAGGCTGATTTATGGGATATGTAATAAAAACATTTTATTACAATTTTAATTGATAAAAATCAATTAAAATGTAGATGTTAAGCAGGTATAATGTCAACCATGTATTTTAGACTTTAGATTTAAGAATAAATGCCCTATATTTTGACTTTGACCACAGAGTCTCTTCTGTTTAAATGACTGTTCTGTGTCAATATGGAAAAAATGATGCTGGCGAAACCCTCTGCTGTGGTTAAAAGAGTCAATGTTGTCCCCTTAAAACCACCGTCTTCTCAGCCTCTCTGTCGTCCTGTTTTATTGACTCGTCGATACATTTTGCTCACAATGTCACATGTAGATGTTAAGCAGGTATAATGTTTACCATGCTGGCCATACAAGATGAACCACGATACAGATAACCATGCGCACCCATCTTAGCTTAGTCTGTTAATAGGCTAACATTTGCTAATTAGAAGCCATGAATACGTAGTAATTATAGTGTTTGCGATTTCACAGGACAAGTAAAAACTTCTGCTGGTGGCTAGACAGGGAATTACCAAAATAAGTTAAATTCATCTTCTGGAAACCACATTTCATGAGATATATATTTTTCAATTTCTGCCAATAGATACTCCGAAATGTCACACATTTTTCTCTTAAATTTAACTTTTGTGTCAGTTACTGAACAGTTAAGTCCTTTCTGCTAAAGGAAAATGATTCTTTGGTTGAATTGTTCACTACTCTGAAAATATATGTACATCCTCTAATAGGCGTTTTTTAACATTGGTCTGATTTTGTCTGAGGAGTCACGAGCCAAAAAGGTTGAGATTTACAACTTAGTGTGATCTGTTTATCTCAGATTTGCAGAGCTGTGGTGAGTCTGGGCAACACTCGCTGCCCAGAAAATACAAAGCCAAACACACAAACGCACACTGGCTGCTAGCTGATCCCAACACAAAAACTTTATTCAGCACAGGAGCTCATCTATTTCCACTCTGGGACGCCTGCAGTGTGGCAATCACTCAGCTGGGTTATAAGCAGTGTCTTGCACTGACAATAGCCTTATTCTCTTCCTGGAGGTCATATAGCCTCTGCCGTCCACCTCCTCAGAATTACTCCACATTCCTCCTTCGTGGTTATCCGAGACACGGCAAAAGTGACAAGCATGTGTGTGGTTCAGGAAAGGAACAGCAGAAGTGTTAAGTGTTATATTCTATGCCAAGTGCTCTTTGCCTGTTGGCGTCTGATCACACTGGACCTGGAGAACCGCCTGGAGTTTGGAAAAAAGGGAACACAGCCAAGGCTTTATCCTGGATTCAAACAAACACACACTTAAAACGCACACAGATACGCTCCTCTGCAGCCAGCCAGCGTGGCATTATCAGTGTCTAACCTCACACTGTGCCTGTTGTCATCATTGTAAGGAGCGTTACACGCTGCAACTAGACCACTCCGAGTCTATTTCTGGTGCGGCTGCAGCATAATCAAGACAGCCTTCACCATCGGCTGACCCATAAACCGGCCCACCCACCCACTGGTGGGGGGTTAACATTACACTGCATTCTCACATGGACAGAGAGCACAAACAGAGGAGAGGCAGGAGAGCGAAAGGTCAAGCAACAAGGAAGCGAATAAAACAAGGCGAAAGAGTTTGATCACATGCGAGTCAACTGACTCTTTTCAACTGTTGCTGTAGCTCTCTTGCAGAAGATTTAATTGCAAGAGAAAAGAAACTTTTAAGATTAAATTTTGCCTTTGCACTTTGACTTTCTCCCCATAGAGTCTAATCTCCTCTGTTTATCTTTGCTGTGTCAATATGGAAAATATGAAGCAGGTGAAACACTTCCGCCGAGGTTAAAAGAGCTAATGTTGTCCTCTGAAAACCACAAACACACACCCAGATGTTGCTGCTGTTTACATTCCTCCAGATGCAAATCAAAACCGAGATTTTGTTTTTATTGTAACTGTTGATTTTAATCTTAAACAGACCTCAGAACTGTTTCACCTAAATTCTACCAGTGTGTCCACATACACAGGACCATGTTTAGACTAATATATCTGGCAGCTACAAGAGCCGTCCCCCGTCCCCAATCTGGTCTATCAGACCCATATTTCTGTGCTTCTCATGTCTACTTTCACCCAGCAGATAAATAGGGTCAAACCATCAGTAAAAAAGGTCAAAGAGTGCACAGATGGAGCTACAGTAGCTCTACGGGACAGCTGTGAGTCTTTAAAGAGGCTGCCACCTGAAAAATGCACACCTTCAATTACATCATACATCAGCAAATGTGTTGATGACGTGGTGACAATAAAATCAATCCTTAACCAGAAAGCGAATGAAAGAATGGAGAGGTGAGGGTTTAATCCAGAGCCAAAATACTGCAGGTTATAAGGATACATTCAGCACTGCCAGAGCAAGACTGAAAGCTGGCATCAAGGAGGCAAAGCAAGGACACCAGCAGAGACAGGAGAGAGACCTCAACACCAACAACACCAAAGATATGTGGCAGGTAATCCACAACGCCGCAGGCTACAAAAGCAGGAGTGCCCCCATCATGTGTGAAGCCCCGCCACATGTGAGCTGAACATATTTTATTCTCACTTTGATCTCCTCAACAAAGAGTGAGCTGTAAAGTCGACAGAGGATCGACCGCTGTCAGTATCCACAGTGGATGTGAGAAAACTCCTGCTGAGAGTAAGTATGAGTAAAGCTGCTGTACTAAAAACATGTGCCAATTAGCTAGTTGCTGACTTTTGACATATCACTGTCACAGGACAGTCTCCCCACCTTCAGGACAGCCACCATTAACCTTACTTATCCTAAGAAGTCTGCAATATTTATTCTAAACCACTACCGCCCTGTGCACTCACCCCTATTCTGAGAAGTGCTTTGAGAAACTGGTTCTCCAGCATGTAAAGAGAAACACTTAGACTTGAGTTATTTCAGTTCCGCATTCAGCACAATCTACTCCATGAAACTGATTAGTAAACTCAGGACTCTGGCCCTGAGGGCCACACTCTGTGACTGGATATTGGACTTCCTCACAAGCAGACCCCAGAGTTCAGATTGGTGGTTACACCTCCTCCAACTCTCAACACCGGCGCCCCTCAGGGCTGTGTGCTCAGCCCCCTCCTATAAAAGATACTAAATGACATCATCATGTTTTATTTGGAAGACTTACTATTTATTCACCTATCTACTGTAAACATTTGTTGTATATAACATTTGTTTTTGTGAGTAGCATAAAGGAACTATAACTTAATCTTGTACAATGTGTTGTAAAATGATGATGAACTAAATCTATGTGGTGGTTTTTAGGGCTGTATGCAGCTCGTGGGGAAGATTGTAAACTGGTTGATTAAGTCTCCCCAACTCCTCTGTATGTTTCGGTGAAAATATTAGCCGTTTAACAGAAAATTCTCCTAAAAAGATGCCATTACTGATAATAAATCAATGATAATACACCAAAAAGACAGTTCTTTGAAATAAAATATTATTTAACCATTGTTCACACTGCGCTGGGAAAGACCCCACACTCTGACCTCACTGATGACATGCATATGTGTGGGGGACTGTATGTATAGAAGTGATACCTTGTGTATATTGACAGTGAAGTAATCCTTCATTAAAAAGCTCATGCTCATAGGTCTACGTCAGGAATTGGTAATACACGTAATTACTATTCAGCCAGGTTGCAGAGCCCATAATTGGTCTCCTCACTCACCAAGGGAACAATCAACCCCTTTAATAAGGCAAAGTGGAGGCGAGGGCATGAGACAGCGCCAAGATAAAACAGCTCAACAACTCCGAACAATAAGCTGGCTGAATGAGCATGTTGACTCACATCCCAGTCTGTACTGGACTGGTGGAAGGCCCTGGCTGGTCTGTTTCTACATTACCCCCTGTAGATAAGTTTCCCTCCAGGCAAAGCTCTTTCCTAATCTGATATCGCTTAAGTTTCCTTTCTTTCATAGCAAAAGACCAATTCTTATTCATGAGCACTCTCACTTTCAGAGCTCCTTTTCCGCCGCTCCTCATTTCTCAGATCTAACTCCCTTTTCCACTTGGTCCTTTGCCTCTTTTCCACCTTAAATCCTCTCTCTCTCTATGATTAGTCTGCTAAAGGCAGCCCACACACACACTCTGTGCTCTCCTTACCGCTCTCCCTGGTCATAAAGCCCAGGTTGCAGCAATACTTACATGTCTGCTGGGCTTTGGCTTTGCGGGAGCTCTTGGTGGACTCACACCACACGGTGAGTCCGTCCTCCAGCAGCCGCAGGTTTCGGCTCTTCTGCCACCTCGAAGAGCGAACTTTCACCATGTTGGAGCCTTGCATCATCAGGCGTATGTCGTCATTGTCCAGCCCTGGAGCACACACACACATACACAAAACAGAACGGGGAATTTTTAATGTAAAAATAAACTGTGATTCAGTTTGAGATTGGGTCACACTTTGTGCTGTTTCATTTGGACAACATAACGAGTCTAATGAATGTTCATACTATCTGTCAAAGAGTAAAGGTGTGCAAAAATCATGAAAATGTCACAAGAAAAGAAAAGAAGATAATTTCTCCAAGGAATTTTGTAGTTATATTGTATCCTAGCTGATTTAGGTTGCTATGTTCATAGGGGCAAAGTGAGGTTGTAATTATCCACAGCGCTGCTTTAAGCTAAGCCAGTGTTTGGTTGGTCTATTCTGGGCTACTGTAGAAACATGGCCGACTCCATGGAAGATGACCCGCAGCCTCTGTAGATATAAACATGTAACGACTCCTATATATTCACTTGATTTTACACTAATGAAAACATATTCCATTTCTGCCAAAAGATTCTCCTAAATGTTAAACACTGGACCTTTAAAGGATTAAGCCTACATCTCTTCCATACTAGAACGGTCCTTTCACTGCAAGTTCCTCCAGTTCGTACCAAACTATGAAGATCTGCCTTTTTATGCTCCTACTACATGGAAGTCTTTACAAAGCACCCTAAGGATCAATACTCTTGTACCCCTCTGTAAATATATAAAAATGATTCAACCTCTGTTTGCACTTGTTTAACTTGTTTTATATCTTGTATGTTTTCAATTACTTGTTTTCTTTCATCTGTATTTTATTAGTTGTTTAATTGATTATTTGCTTTCTTATTTTTTTATTTTCATATATTTTTAGTCATTTTATAATGTTACTCGACTTCACTGTAAATGATTTTCAAGTTTAAATAAAGGTAGATATAAGTCTACTTCCAGTCAGTACCTCACTACAACCCTTTGCCATCCATTGATATATACTGTACATGCACAATCATTATCGAGTACCATAGAAAAACTTTATACGTCCCTTCAGGAATTCTGTAGTTTTTTAGAGATTATTCATTCTTGTGAGTCAGGATAGAGGCCAGAGAGTGACGTATCTGCCTCCTCTAAGTGCCACTTGACCCAACTTGATAATTGTTCTTTTTCTTTTTTAGGGGCTCGGGTGGATGTTGCTTTAAAAAATGAATAACTCTTATATAACAGCAACATTTATACCTGACCTTGATGACGGTGTTTGTCAAGCCAACCTCACAAATATATAGTCAACACTTTTGCTTACACCCCAAACCCAAGCTCGTGTTTCCTATACAAACTTTGGAGGAAATGACCAGACGTTCATTCAGGTCATACAGAAGGTTTGGTGTGCTGAGTCAAGCTTTCATGGATTGTCATGGAAAAGTGACTTTATGTTTTAAGAAAGTAATGCGTGTTTTCATCCAGTCTAGACTTTGCTCAGAATAAAGCTGAGAGAAATTGAATGTTGAGATGTGAATCAGTCATGATAAACTGTAGATTTAGTTCTCTCTCGGGGCAGTACCAAGCCAACAGACAGCAGAAAAGGAGCATGGAAAGTTTGCTTGGCTGTACCATTCATACTAAGCCTCCCTAGCTATGGAAATGTAATCAAGAAGCTAAAAACCAATGCCGAGCCTCAGAGATCGGATTGTTATTTGTTGTGAGCACTGAAAGGATCAGGGCATGTTCTAGGAATAAATAAGAGATGAAAGCAGGAAGCCTGAGTGATCTATAGACACACAATGAAGCTTTAAATTGAGAGTTGCCAGTAATTTAAAGTCCAGTCATGTGATATAAACACAGAGATAAAAACTTGTAAAACTATTTAAAAAAAAGAAGGAGAAAGAAATGTTTTATGATCAATCAAAAAGCCAAATGTTGGCACTAGAAACAGATCTTTTGAATTTACAAGCACAAGATCATTTTTATATGAGCTGGATTTGATTAAATAAGAACTCAAGTAGAGATGAAACCATTTTAGAGTTGGACTGTAGAATTTAAAGATGTCCTATTGGGCTCTGAGAAACTGTGATGTGACGTTTTATAGACCAAACATTTAAATGATTAACCCCCCCCCCACTGCAAAAAAGACAACTGCCAAAATAACCGACGATGAACAGAATCGCTAGTTGCAGCTCTAAACTAAATCTGAGGGTGATTTTGGACTGTAGGGTTGAAGCTGGAAGGACACGTGGAGTGTTTGAACATGACTCTCGTTCCGAAAGTTCAAACATGACGAGACTCAGGGAGGGGTCAGGGTGCAATCTGGTACTGTGGAGTGGACATATTTGAGACAAGATCAAGATCCTTTTCATCGTCTCCTGCTGAAAATCTGGTTGACATCCACTTCATCAGATGGTCAAAGCCCTG